GCCAGAAATCTTGCTTGTTTGTAGGTGACCAAATACTTATTTTCCACCATAATTTGCAAATAAATTCTTTCCAAATCAGCCAATGTGATTGTTTGTCTGGTTATTTTTTTCTCATTATGTCCCTCATAGTTGAGGTCTACCTATGATGCCAATTACAGGACTCTCTCATCTTTTTAAGTGGGAGAACTTGCACAATTGGTGGCTGACTAAATACTTTTTTTGCCACACTGTGTGTGTGTGTGTGTGTGTGTGTGTGTGTGTGTGTGTGTGTATATATATACACAAAAAATGAACAATAAATCTACAAATAATAACTGTTAAAGTATAATGTTGATTATATTCAAACATGCCCAGATGTAAATTACTGTGGTTAAAACCGGTGTAAATATACATATACACCTACACACACACACACACACGTGTATAGATCTGCATAAAAAGTGTGTAAGACAAAAATTAGTAGTAATACAATAAAATAACATCTCTAAGAGCAAAGTACATATGATGTGATGTGAAACCCAATTCATTAATACAGTAATTCATTAATAAAATTCCTTGTGACAAAAATGTTTGTTTTAAAAAAATAATAGAGTGTGTGGAATAATATATATACATACATACAATGCCCTATAGGGATATTCCCCCCATATGGATAGAACTATGGTCTTATCAAGTATAGTAAAAGATTGAAGATTACCAGACCTGACGGGGTGTAAGGGATCAAATCTGGATCCACGGTGTATTGTAGAGAGCGATTCAGGATAGGTAAATAGTAGAGATGAGCGAATCGAACTTGGCGAAGTGGAATTCGTTTCGAATATTAGGAAAAATTCGATTCGCATCGAATCCGAATTTTAGTATAGCAAACCTTCGGATGCACGAATCGAATTTTCCCCCGATCAGCCGGCAAAAGTGTCACTGCAGAGAGCTCCGCCGCTACGTGATCATTTCTGACAGTTCTCTGACAGTTCTGACAGTTCATTTACAGCGTTGAAACAATTGTATCTATTTGTTTCCATTTAGGATACAGATGTTTTTTATTCGGAAATAAATAGATACAATGTTTCAACCGCTGTAAATGAACTGTCAGAGAACTGTCAGAAATAGCGGAGCTCTCTGCAGATACACTTTTTGCTGTACTGGAATTCTTCTTCTTTTCATTCTTCTTCTTCTTTTTCAATTCTTCTTCTTTTCATTCTTCTTTTCATTCTTCTTCTTCTTTTCATTCCTCTTTTCATTCTTCTTCCTTTTTCTTTTCATTCTTCTTCTTTTTCTTTTCATTCTTCTTCTTCTTTTCATTCTTCTCCTTCTACTCTCTTTTCATTCTCTTCATCTTCTTCTTTCATTCTTCTTCTTTCTTCTTTTCATTCTTCTCTTCTTCTTCTTCTTCTTTTCTCTCTTCTTCTTCTTTCATTCTTCTTCTTCTTCTTTTCATTCTTCTTCTTCTTTTCATTCTTCTTCTTTTCATTCTTCTTTTCATTCTTCTTCTTCTTCTTCTTCTTCTTCTTCTTTTTTTTCATTCTTCTTCTTCTTCTTCTTTTCATTCTTCTTCTTCTTCTTTTCATTCTTCTTCTTCTTCTTCTTTTCATTCTTCTTCTTCTTCTTCTTTTCATTCTTCTTCTTCTTCTTTTTTTCATTCTTCTTCTTCTTCTTTTCATTCTTCTTCTTCTTCTTTCTTCTTTTCATTCTTCTTCTTCTTTTCATTCTTCTCCTTCTTCTTCTCATTCTTCTTTCTTTTCATTCTTCTTTTCATTCTTCTTCTTTTCATTCTTCTTCTTCTTCTTTTCATTCTTCTTCTTCTTTTCATTCTTCTTCTTCTTCTTCTTCATTTTCATTCTTCTTCTTTTCATTCTTTCATTCTTCTTCCCTTTTCATTCTTTTCATTCTTCTTCTTTTCATTCTTCTTTTCCTTCTTCTTCTTCTTTTCATTCTTCTTTTCATTCTTCTTTTTCATTCTTCTTTTCATTCTTCTTTTCATTCTTCTCCTTCTTCTTTTCATTCTTCTATTTCATTCTTCTTTTCATTCTTCTTTTCATTCTTCTTTTCATTCTCTTCTTCTCTTTCATTCTTCTTCTTTTCATTCTTTTCTTTTCATTCTTCTTTTCATTCTTCTTTTCATTCTTTTTTTTCATTCTTCTTTTCATTCTTTTCATTCTTCTTTTCAATTCTTTTTCATTCTTCTTCTTCTTCTTCTTTTCATTCTTCTTCTTCTTCTTCTTTTCATTCTTCTTCTTCTTCTTCTTTTCATTCTTCTTCTTCTTTTCATTCTTCTCCTTCTTCTTCTCATTCTTCTTCTTTTCATTCTTCTTTTCATTCTTCTTCTTTTCATTCCTTCTTCTCTTCTCTTCATTTTCATTCTTCTTTCTTTTCATTCCTTCTTCTTCTTCTTCTTCTTCTTTTCATTCTTCTTCTTTTCATTCTTTTCATTCTTCTTCTTTTCATTCTTTTCATTCTTCTTCTTTCATTCTTTTCATTCTTCTTTTCATCTTCTTCTTCTTCTTCTTCTTCATTCTTTTTTCCTTCTTCTTCTTCTTTTCATTCTTCTTTTCATTCTTCTTTTCATTCTTCTTTTCATTCTTCTTTTCATTCTTCTCCTTCTTCTTTTCATTCTTCTTTTCATTCTTCTTTTCATTCTTCTCCTTCTCTTTTCATTCTTCTTTTCATTCTTCTTTTCATTCTGTCTTTTCATTCTTCTTTTCATTCTTCTTTTCATTCTTCTTTCATTCTTCTTTTCATTCTTCTTTTCATTCTCTTTTCTTTCTTTCATTCTCTTCTTCTTTTCATTCTCTTCTTCTTTTCATTCTTCTTCTTTTCATTCTTCTTCTTTTCATTCTTCTTCTTTTCATTCTTCTTCTTTTCATTCTTTTCATTCTTCTTTTCAATTCTTTTCATTCTTCTTCTTCTTCTTCTTTTCATTCTTCTTTTCATTCTTTTCATTCTTCTTCTTCTTCTACTTCTACTTCTTTTCATTCTTCTTCTTCTTCTTCTTCTTCTTTTCATTCTTCTTCTTTTCATTCTTCTTCTTTTCATTCTTCTTCTTTTCATTCTTCTTCTTTCATTCTTCTTCTTTTCATTCTTCAAGACTCCTTCTTCTTTTCATTCTTCTCCATTTTTCATTCTTCTTTTCATTTCTTCTTCTTTTCATTCTTCTTCTTCTTTTTCATTCTTCTTTTCATTCTTCTTCTTCTTCTTCTTCTTCTTTTCATTCTTCTTTTCATTCTTCTTCTTCTTTTACCCTTCTCTTTTCATTCTTCTTCTTCTTTCCCCTTCTTCTTTTCCTTCTTCTTCTCCTTCTCCTCCTTCTCCTCCTCCTCCTCCTCCTCCTCCTCCTCCTCCTCCCCCTCCCCCTCCCCCTCCCCCTCCCCCCCCCTCCCCCCCCTCCCCCCCCTCCCCCCCCTCCAACCCCCTCCTCCCCCTCCTCACCCTCCTCCTCCCAAAACCCTCCTCCTCCTCCTCCTCCTTCTTCTTTTCCTTCTTCTTTTCCTTCTTCTTCTTCTTTTCCTTCTTCTTTTTCCTTCTTCTTTTCCTTCTTCTTTCCTTCTTCTTTTCCTTCTTCTTTTCCTTCTTCTATTTCCTTCTCCTTTTCCTTCTCCTTTTCCTTCTCCCTTTTTCCTTTTTTTTCCTTTTTCCTTTTTCCTTTTTCTTTTCCTTCTTTCTTTTTCTTTTCCTTCTTCCCCCCTTTCCCCCCTTCCCCCGTGACTGCCCAAATGAGTGAAGTGTGCGGTGATTCTAAGATCGTGACTGCACTCATCTGCATGTCATACTGACTGACAGTATTATTTCTCTTCCCCAGCAGACTCCAAGGGCAATCTCTAGTAATAGTTTCAGGTCAGCAGCAGAGGGAGATCTCGTGCTTGTATGCCAAATGTGGCATCAGGCTGTTCCTGTATGTGGAACGCACGCCAAAGGAGCGTGGTTTCTGGTGTGCATGCGCGATTCAACCCGCGCAGTAGAAGGGATGTCAGTCCGTCCGAGACCTCTTGGAACGCAATAGCCGTCGGACTACTGCGCATGCACGGGGCGGCACCAGGCTGCTTGGCCAGTCCCTACATCTCCTGCGTAACCCTTTGTACAATACAGAGTGGAAGAGTGTCAGAAAATGCCTCCTTAACAAATACAATGATGAATAATGGATAATTGATACTGATAACATTAATACTGGGCCATATTTAGTCATTTTAAAAAATTATGATCATAACAATGATTCACATGATAGCATTTTGCAATTATTTGTAATTGTGACATAGGTGAACTAATGATGAATTCCTGACCTAGCATATGACATATGTACACAATATTGAGTTGAATGACTTCAGATCAGATGTATCCCAATCTGATCATAACAATCAGTGTGCAGGACAAGGCATGCGTACATGCACCCACACCGATGTCAAATTGGGAGCACAAGTTGTGTCCATGCAGCTGTTTTTTGTCTGCAGTTCAGCTTTTAACTAATTTTAAATGTCTCTGTACCAGCCCTTTTGCTGTCCATTTACATACCAGTAAATGAGATTATATACATAATAACCAGTTTCAATCAGTTGTTTTTTTTTTTTTTCTTAAACAATGTTCAGCTTAGAAAAGCTCCATTTTATACAACAAATAAAAGATTAAGTTGCTTGAACTTGATTTTATACCGAGACTTTTTCATGTCAAAAACAATTATAAGTGGAAATAAGTACTTTTTTGCTAGTTTGACCTAATCGTTTTTGGAAGATAGAAATCTCTTTGAGATAATTGTTAAAAATCAATTGTTATGTTTATGGCAATCATTACAATCTCAGATTTGCAGCAGTGCAGTATGGTGGCTCAAATAAGCTAGTGGCTTTTTACCTAAATGTTCTCCAATGATTCAAATCTATTTGGTACAACCATGCAACATGGTTTTGTTTGTTGTCACAATAATATTTTTTTTCATGCTACGTCAAGTACTTCTTTCTAACTTTGCTCTTCTGTGTGTTTCTTGTGTTTTTACTCATTTCTTTTATTTTATCACACAGTGATGTATCCCAAATTAGCATCTTAGTGCCTGGTGCAGGACTTGGAAGACTGGCTTGGGAAATCGCAAGACACGGTTATGCATGCCAAGGAAATGAATGGAGCTTTTTCATGCTTTTCTCTTCTAACTTTGTATTGAATAGGTTAGTAATTTTGTATTTCACAGTTGTTCAAGAAAGTTTGGCTCAACTGAAAAATGTAAATTTAAATGTATTGGAAGACTCTTATGGATATTGGTCAATCCTTTCCACAATAGTTTTATTACAAAGATGCAATCAATTTGTTATTCCTTGTAAATACTATATTAAGAAAATACTTAATTTGATCATTTTTAACCAATTGACCTCTGGAAGATTTTTACCCCCTTTTATGACCAGGCCATTTTTTGTGATATGCTGCTGCTCTACTTTATCTGACAATTGCATGGTCATGCAATGCTGTACATAAATGAAATTTGTAATTTTTTTTTCCCACAAATAGAGCTTTCTTTTAGTGGTATTTGATCACCTCTGGGGTTTTTTTTTTTTTTAAGCTATAAATGAAAAAAACACCAACTTTCTAAAAAAAAGAAAAAAAAAAAACCCAATATTTTTTTTTTCTTTTTGCTATAAAACCTATCCAATTGAAAAATCTGAAATTGAATTGAAAGGTTTCTTCCTAAATATAGGCCAAAATTTATTCTACTACATACAGATAGGTCCGTATATATTTGGACACAGGCACAATTTTCATACTTTTGGCTCTGTATGCCACCAGAATGAATTAAAACAAAACAATCCAAATGAATTTGAAGTGCACACTTTTAGCTTTAATTCAAGGGGTTGAGCATAAATATCAAGTACAAATTTTAGGAACTGCAACCATTTTTATACACAGTCCCTACATTTTCAGGGGCTCAAATGTAATTAGACAAATTAATATAATCCTAAATAAAATGTTCATTTTTAATATTTTGTTGAGAATCCTTTACTGGAAATGACTGCCTGAAGTCTGGAACCCATGGGCATTACCAAAGACTGGGTTTCCTCCTTTCTGATGCTTTGCCAGGCTCTAACTGCAGCTGTCTTCAGTTGTTCTTTGTGGGTCTTTCTGCCTTTTTTTTTTGCCTTCAGTAAGTGAAATGCATGCTCAATTGGCTTGAGATCAGGTGATTGACTCGGCCATTGCAGAATATTCCACTTCTTTTCCTTCAAAAGCTCCTGGGTTGCTTTACAGTGTGTTTTAGATCATTGTCCATCTGTACTGTGAAGTGCTGTCCAATCAACTTTGCTGCATTTGGCTGAATCTGGGCTGACCGTATATCTCTAAACACTGCAGAATTCATCCGGCTGCTTCTGTCTTCTGTCACATAATCAATAAACACCAATGATCCCGTGGCACTGGAAGCCATGCATGCCCATGCCATCACACTGCCTCCACCATGTTTTACAGATGACGTTGTGTGATTTGGATTATGAGCTGTTCTATGCCCTTTCCACACTTTTTTTTTTTTTTTTTGTTCCCACCATTCTGGTACAGAATAATCTTAGTTTCATCCGTCCAAAGAATGCTTTTCCAGAACTGGTCTGGCATTTTTAGATGTTTTTTTGGCAAAGTCTAATCTGTTTTTTTTTTATTCTTCAGGCTTATGAATGGTTTGCACCTTGTGGTGAAACCCTCTATATTTGCTCTCATGAAGTTTTCTCTTGATTGTAGACTTTGACAATGATACGCCACCCTCCTGTAGAGTGTCCTTCACTTGTCTGGATGTTGTGAATGGGGTTTTTCTCTACCATAGAGAGGATCCTGCGATCATCCACCACTGTTGTCTTCCGTGGACGTGCATGCCTTTTTATGTTGCTGAGCTCACTAGTGCATTCTTCTTTCCTCAGAATGTACCAAACTGTGTGACTCCTAATGTTGCTGCTATCTTTCTGATGGATTTGTTTAGTTTTTGAAAGCCTTACAATGGCCTGTTTCACTCGCATGGACAGCTCCTTTGATCGCATGATGTAGGTTCACAGCAATAGATTCCTAATGCAAATACTACACTTGGAATCAACTCCAGACCTTTTACCTGCTTAATTGATGAAGAAATAACGAAGAAGTAGCACACACTTGGCCATGAAACGGCTTTTGATTCAATTGTCCAATTACTTTTGGTCCTTTGAAAAATGGGGGATGGCTACTCTTAAGAGCTGTAATTCCTAAACCCTTCCTCCAATTTGGAAGTACAGTACATACCCTCAAATTAAACCTGAGAGTGTGCACTTTCAGCCCATATCCATGATATAACTATAGCTTGAATATGTTTTGGTAAATACCTAACAAAAAAAAAAAAATCTACATTTGTTTTTTTATACTAGTAATGGCGGCGATCAGCGACTTATAGCGGGACTGCGATATTGCGTTGGACAGTCTGACAACTCGTGGGAACCAAAATATATACACTGTCACTGTATTGATGACACTGGCTGGGAAGGGGTTAAACATTTAGGGCAATCAAAGGGTTAATTGTGTGCCTAGCCAGTGTTTTTTGTGTATACAGTGTGCTGTTTTTACTAGGCAGTCTACTAGATTTTATTCCCTGAATAAAATCCAGCAGATCGTCATTGACATAACACAACTCTGCCTTGTTTACATAGGCAGGGCTGTGTTCTGTCATTCTCCTCAGCGATCAACAGGTGCCAGCGCTCATCCATTGGCTGGCACCTGTTGATCGAATTCTGCTGTGTCCAGTCACAGCAGAAGCGGTGTTCTGGCAACAGGCGCGTGCCTCCCATTGGCAGAAATGCAAAATCACGTTTTATATGTGATTTTGCACATATCGTCTACCCTGTAGTAGTAGATCTGCTATAGGGCGGATGGCAAGTGGTTAGCTAAAGTTTAATCTGCAAAGATTTGCCTGCCATGTTTTTTTCCACCCACCACCATCAATGTGCTGATTGTAACAGCGTATACCCAGAGATGGACGCGGTTCAACCATTTTTGCTTCAACCTCCATCTTGGCAAAGGGATTATTAACCATCCTGACAAATAGATTTCTCCCTCGTTCTTCCCCCCTCCCTCCTTAGATAGGCCCAGCGACATTTGGCCAGTATGTTTGTGAGTTGGGAATGTCACAGGAGGGTCATAGGAGCTATAAAGCCCCCCAAGGGAGCCGGGGCTTCCCGGTCCAAAGAACCTGCAAATTGTAACACCTCGTAAGAGATAAGGCAAGCTTTCCCAGGAGTTGAAAGAGATTCCAACCTAATAAACCTAACTCAGCGTAGGTGACAGAATCAGATAAACACTTTTCAAAATCCATTTCTCCCTATGTCTCATATATTGGAATATGAGAGACTTACATAAAAACCGGACCTATCGTCAGATTGGCCACGAGAAGGCGAACAGTTTGATAGGTCACTCGCATTGTCTCGGATACATAGGAAAACAGAAAAGTAGATCTTGTGAACCGTACAGTGTATAATTTTAGAATTCATATCTAATCAATCCTCAGACGTGTCTGCATAATAATCTACCCGCGGGTGGAATGTCACTTGTGCAGCTGGAAAGTTATGGGCCAAAATATGAGTTACGGGAGATTTTGGCTCTAGTTGAGGTATCCACCCATACCTCCACGCCCTAAGCGGGGTATTGGTCCTTGACTTCAGAGACACCCCCTGCTGGGAGCTACAAAATAGGCTGTCAGGCCTAAGAGTGTAAGTTGAAGACGTCTCCCATTTTAACATCAATACCACCTGGGGAGACCCGTGCCCTTTTGCTCTGGAACTTGGATCTGCTAACCCAGGACTTTGGCAAGTACCTTAACCCTTTCACCTCTCTCTGATATCGCTTTGCTGTACTGTTGGTCTCTGTATGTTTTATATATATATCTTAGTTACATCTTGTTCTGTAAATATTTTTATTGCACCCGTTTGACCTTTTTAGTAATAAATCTTTCCTTCTGAAAATGTTGAACTGTTTCTTTAGCGCTTTAAAGCAATTTACGAATTCCTGCCTCTAAAGAGAACACTACTGTGTTTAACTCTCTGCATAATCGGCCTGCGTTGACCGTATTATGCAGACGATCATTTCAACCATTGTAGTGTTTTAGCTGATATTGCCGAGTTTCCTCTTTCTCTGTACAAAAAGGAGGTGGTGGCAGTGTGAAGGGTTAATTGCGTAATAAACCTGACCCAGTAACAATTGCTCAGGCTGCTGGTACATCGATTTGTGGTCCAATTAGCTGGAAAATCGTTGTGCAGGGTGCAGCTGGATGTGGCATTGTTACGCATGTGACATTGCGGTTTTAGATCGGCTAGTCCTTTGCTCACGAGTTTGGTGAGAAGGTCTGACGCCGCGATCGTGACACTGATTACATTTTAAAATAAAATCTTTTGTTGTTTTCAAATATTATTTTAGACCCACCGACATTCTGACTGGATCTCTGTGCTTCTATATGCAGTGCAGGCAGATCACAGCTGGTGGGTTCATCATGATGCTGTACATACAGTGGGAAAATAATTATTTGATCCCCTGTAGATTTTTTAAGTTTGCCCACTTACAAAGAATTGAAGGGTCTATCATTTCTGTCATAGGTGTATTTTAAATGATAGAGACAGAATATCAACCAAAAACCCAGAAAAAAAACACACTATACAAATGTTATCAATTGAGTTGCAGTTCAGTAAGTAAAATACGTATTTAATCCCCTACCAACAATAATTATGACTCCCATAGATTGGCTATGTGGTACACAGATTTTTCCTGTCAATTTAAGAAGGTGCTCCTAATGACAACTTATGTGTATAAAAGACACCTGTCCACAGAATCTTTCTTTCTTCCTCTCAAACCTCACCATCATGGGCAAGACCAAAGACCTATCAAAGGATGTCGGGGACAAGATTGTAGACCTGCACAAGGTTGGAATGGGCTACAAGACCATCAGCAAGAAGCTTGATAAGAAGGAGACAACTGTCGGAGCGGTTCAATTCACAAATGGAAGAAATGCAAATTAACCATTAATCGCCCTCAGTCTGTAGCTCCTTGAAAGATTTCACCTCATGGGGTAAGGCTGATCATGAGAAAAGTGAGGGATCAGCCCATATCACGGGAGGAGCTTGTGAATGATTTCAAGGCAGTTGGGACCACAGTTTCAAAACATTGATAACACAATACACCGCCATGGATTGAAATCCTGCAGCGCCAGCAAGGTCCCCATCCACAAGAATTCACATGTACAGGACTGTCTGAAGGTTGCCAAAGAACATCTAAATGATTCAGAGAAGGATTGGGAGAAAGTGCTGTGGTCAGATGACACCAATATTGAGCTCCTTGGCATTAACACGACTTGCTGTGTTTGGAGGAAGAAAAATGTTGATCCTAAGAACACCATCCCTACCGTCAAGTACAGAGATGAAAACCTTATGCTTTGGGGCTGTTTCTCTGCTAAAGGTACAGGCTGACTTTGCCGCATTGAGGGGCTAATGTACAGGGCCATGTATTGTAAAATCTTGGATGAGAACCTTTTTCCCTCAGCCAGAACACTGAAGATGGGTCGTGGATGGGTCTTCCAGCATGACAGTGACCCAAAACATACCAGAGCAACAAAGGAGTGGCTCAAGAAGAAGCACATTAAGTTCATGGAGTGGCCTAGCTAGTCTCCAGACCTCAATCCTATAGAAAATATATGGAGGGAGGTGAAACTTCGAGTTGCCAAGTGACAGTCAAGAAACCTTAAGGATTTAGAGAAGATCTGTGAAGAGTGGACCAAAATCTCTCCTGAGATGTGTGCAAAGCTGATTATTTTGCTCACTGAACTGCAACTTAATTTATAGCATTTGTATCATGTGTTTTTTTTTCTGGATTCTTTGGTTGATATTCTGTCTATCATTTAAAATACACTTATGATAAAAGTCATAGACCCTTCATTTCTTTGTAAGTGGACAAACGTACAAAATCTACAGGGGATCAAATAATTATTTTCCCCACTGCAGGTTTTCTAAAAACATCATAGCACACTGCCTCAGTATTCCTATCATGAGCCTTTAGTCCTGATGTAAGCAGTGGGCTGACTCTTTGGGGGAGCTTTGCAAATTTGATTACCTTTTGGCTACTTTCACACTGATCCGCTGCAAAAATGCATGGGGGTGTTTTTTTTACCCCGCTTTTTGAACGTTTTTTTAAAGGACATGTGACTTAAAAACTGCACCAAAAATGCTTCTCAGAGGTGTATTTGCGGCATTTTTAAGCGCTTTACAGGTGTTTTTTAGGTGTTTTCCGTTGATTTCAATGGCAAGAGCTGTTTTTTTGTTTTTTTGTTTGTTTTTTTTACCCCAAACATGCCCCAAAGATACTGCAAGCAGAAGTTTTTACACCGCAAGCGCAACGCCTCAGTGTGAAAACTTTCATAGATATACATTCACATTCCTAGGTAAGCATTTTTCTTGAGCTTTTCAGGTGCTTTTTTTTAACGCAAAAATGCTTCAAACACACCTCAGTGGGAAAGTAGCCTTAATGGGTGGATGTCAGTCTGGAGGTGTGAGCATTCCTAGGCAGACTGTATTTGTAACTCTCACATGTGATTTTTGGTCTCAATGAGTAAAAAAAACTAAAATCCAATTATTAAAAGGTGCTGGCTGGGGACAGTAAGACTGGAGCGGAAAGAGCTAAATTATGCTGGATTTCCTTATGCCAGAAAGTCAGGCAGACTCTATATGAAGCTGACAGTGTGCAGTGAAATCAGTACTTTTATCCTTCCTTTCCCCCCTTTGACATGTTTAAATGTTTGCAGTATTTCCCACATTTCCAAACAGGTCATTGCAATACTGTGGCCAAAATATAGTAAGCAGCATTAGTTAGGCCTATGGCTACCTATTTTTATTGTTCCTCCAGGTGAACCTCCTGCTTCGAAAGCAGGTCAACCATGGGTGAATGCTACCCCGAAAAAATGATCATCTGCGTCCAGTGCTGATGTTTCCTATGCAGTCTCACAGCTGTCTGTAATTCAGAAATAAATCTCTGGGTACACACCACCCCTATATCAGGGAAAATCGTACAATTCTTACACATTGTATTAAAATGTATTTGTCAGCGCCTGGAAGAAGACAAATAGGCAGCTTGCAGCGAGGGTATTATACAAAAAATCCTTATAAATAAATTTAAGGTGCAGTGCCCATAGCAATATGACTATAAAATTGATATCTAGTAAGTGCAAAAAAATTAGAATAAAGTGCAATTCATCCACAAATAATCCAATTCACCAATATGATACAATCCACCAGTCCCATATGTGAAATACATAATCAGTTCATATATGGTAAAGTGCAACAAGTTTCCACTACTATGATGTGGACTTTGTAAAAAAGCTTTGTGAGTCTATATCTTGCAGCTGCCACCACCAGCACTCCGCACTTGCCAGACGTTATGGCTGCCTAAATGTAAGCGGCATTCTGATTGCAGTCCCTTTTTAAGGTATCACTTCACTGGCTGCAACACTGAGTACAGCACCGCCATCCAGGACAGGATGATAAATACTACCGCTATATAGAATGAATGCTCACAGACTGGAGCCTGAAAGTTCTCTCATACTGTAGCATTTATTAAAAATTCAATGTAAAGCACATTAAAGCATATGGGATCAAATAGCATCAGTCAGCACTGACAATTATGGCTGCCGCATACAGTCCATGCAGCGGCGTGATGTCAGCACTTAACTGCATCCAATGCGTTTGCACTGTAGAGCGTCCTCGGGGGTCAAAACCCTGCTGTCAGAACATTCAGCAGGAGTGATTCCACCTTCCACCTCAAATGTGTGTGTGTGAGGGGGTAATCGTGTCAGGTTTTTTTTTTTTTTTTTTTTTTTTTTCAAACCTGCTGGTTGAATGAAAAAAACAAACTGAATTTTCTATGGGCTGCTTAAGAGTTTAAAATCCCTGTCTTTTTTTTTTTTTTTTCTCTGTTGGGATATTCATTCACTCTGTTGTAGGATATCCATTTGGATAATTAACTACTGGTTTCTAAAGCTTTTGTTATATGATTGTCTATTTTTTCCAGATGTTCACACGTTAATGCTTTTAAACTTTATCCTTGGATCCATCAGTTTAGCAACAACGTGAGATCGGCTGATCAAGTAAGACCTGTTTACTTTCCTGATGTCAATCCTCATGATCTCCCAACAAATTCAAATTTTTCCATGACTGCAGGAGACTTCCAGGAAATATATTCAGATAACAGTGAGTAAAAAGGTCCTTGATAAGTAATCCAATCCTCCATGCTTTAAAGAAAAGCAGTGGATACATACAAACGTATGGTGGAATTGAAAAGGTCTGTGTAGGTTGTAGTAACCAATTACATTTCCTTCTGTGACTTGCCATACCTAAATGAGACAGGTAGAGTATTTCTACTACAAGCCACCTGATTTTCCAGATGTAGTATTGCTACTACAAGCAACCTGTGTTAAAAAAGTGAAACTTTACTTAGTGGAGACATGCCATTTTGACTTGAAAAGTATATCCTGCTCTTGCAGTGAAAAACAAATGCATAAAAGCTGTAGAGAAAAAAAAAAAACAGCCATCAAATTGTATGATCACCTTCCTCATAAGCAGATTTCCAATTAAAAAATGTGTTACTACACTGTTCATCAGTTATGTATATATTTCACAGTCCATAATTTATGTTCTGCTTAGTTATCCCTTCTTGAATGTATTCTCTCGCTGTCAGCAGCACTTGGTCTGTGGTTCTCCTGTCACTTAGCATTGTGTAATGGTATCAATATACTCTGCATTGTAGTGGAGATTCTCATTTGTTGAGCTCTCACAATACCACTTGCATACTAACATGGCTACTGTGCTAAGCCACAGCATTTGTTAAACTGGTCATTGTGTTTCTCTGATAGTGTTGATGTGTGACAATTTTATAAGTAGAAAAACAAAACCATGGCAGTCCCTGGTTGAAGAGATGTGGAGCAAAATGATGTTCCCAAAACTCTGGATGATATAAAGAGGATATTGTAAATACTTTGTAATAGGAAATTTAGAGTACAGCAAAATAAAGCAAATTTTCCTGGAGTTCTCCTGAGAGCTTCTCTTTATTTTAAGTCACAGACAAAGTGGTGCTGGAAAACTATGCCACTGTAAAAAATTATACAAAATACTTCTCTTCCCTGGAGTGGTATTTATACAGGCTCTTGTGTTCAATCCTCACATGAACTGACCAATCAATAGACACAATTCTGGTCATCTAATCCTTGGGGTTTATTCAACAGATTAATTATTGTGAAAAAAACCAAACACAGTGGCGTAAGAATTGCATCTATCAAAGCTAAAATCTTCTTTACTGTTCATGCTACTGTTTTTTGATTTCTGCTATGTAATACCTGAACAATGGGGATAATACTAGTGACCTGGCATATATTAACTCCTAATAGAGCAGTCTGATTGCCACATCTGGAAAAGAAAACTTGAAAGTTAGCTATGCTCAGTTCTATCTGCATACATGGCTTATATCCGCATACAGGCTTCCATAAACACTTGGAAAAAAGTCCATCTATATACCATGGGCTTACATATATATCCATGGCTTCCTGTCCCGGCATAGCCAGCCTGCCTCACAAAAACTTCAGTGCATAAATTTCCCACCAATATTCCATCTCGGTAGGTGTAAACATGTAACCATTGACTACAAAAAGTATAAAGCTGGTTGTTTGTTTTTTTTTTCCTTTATAAATCGGATGCATATTTTAAAACAACACTGTCACTGTTTAAAAAACTAACTGCAAAAGAACAGCGTTAACCACTTCCAGACCGGACACTTTTACCCCCTTCCTGACCAGGGCAATTTTCAGCTTTTAGCGCTATCACACTTTGAATGACAATTGCGCGGTCATGCAACACTGTACCCAAATTAATTTTTTACCATTTTTTTTGAGACAGATAAAGCTTTATTTTGGTGGTATTTATTCACCACTGGGATTTGTATTTTGTATTTTTTTTTTGCCATGTAAATGAAATGTCCAAACATTTTGAAAAAAAGTGTTTTTTTTTTATAAAATTTTACAAATAAATAATATTTCATCATAAATCTTAGCCAAAATTTATTCCGTTATCTTTTTAGTAAAAAAAAAATCCAAATTAGTTTATAACCAAAAATTATAATTTTTAAACATTTTTTTTTACATTTTTATTTTATTTTTTTAAATTATTATTTTTTATTTTTTTTTATTTTTTTTACATACTGTCACCCTAGCAGTACAGTGTCACCATGGTGACACTGTACTACTTGTGGGGGGTGATGAAGATTTTTTTTTTTTTTTTACACTGATTGCTTTTACACCCATATAGGATGTAAAAGCAATCATTTCTCTTTCTCTCTGTGTGTATTCTTGCACTCATTGAGAAGTACTGAGTGAGCTGTGATTGGTCACAGCTTGTCACATGGTACAAGGCTTTTGTGAATAGCCTTGTACCATGTGACCTCTGTGATCATTCACAGATTTCACACATAGTAAGCAATGATGTCACAAGTGACATCTTGCTTTCTACTTTGCATGTGATCACTGATTGGCCAATCAGTGATCACATGATCGGGACCTCGTACAGTGGTCCCGTCCGACGATCGGTGTTTCACTGTGTCCAGAGGACACAGCGGGCACCGGATCACGGTGCTGTGCGCTCCCAGGGAGCGCGCACAAGCAGGGTGCGGGGAGGCCGTTTATAAACGGCCACCCGACCCTGCAGTGCCACCGTCCGGCCGTTTATATGCAACGGCCGGTCGGGAAGTGGTTAACGTGGTAGTGAAATCAAAGTGTTAAAATCTGCTGACAGGCAGGGTCTTTGTAATAGAAAAGACCCTAGAAATGTCCCGTTTTGCCTGTCGGCAGTAATGTGATCTGAACACGTTTATGGCCTGCTCTGTGTACCGCGGTGATTTGACTCCACATGCACAGGAGCGACATCACCACGGCCTGCCCATTTAAGCAGCCGAAGATACAAAACCCAGACGGGGGACCATGTGAAGATGGAAGTGCTAGGGGAGCCATGACAGCGTTGCACTAGAGGGCTCCATACATTAACTAAAACCTGCAGGGGGCCCATTTTTTTTATTATTATTTCTGATGACTTTACTACCAATTTAATACTAACCTGCACTGACACCCATTATTCAGATATTTAGCCTCTTGCAATGTTAAGGCCTTTGTGGAACCTTTATATCCAACACTTAAGAAGACATATCAAGTGTCTTTGTTCCCTGCTGAGCACTGTGGTTCCATCTGCTGGCCCCTATGTCACTAATGTGTTTTGTACTGATGTAGGGACCAGTGGATGGAATGACAATCTGCGGCATGGGACCAGGCAACTAACACTCCCATTAGCTGTGCTGGATGTTAAAATCCTGCTGGGGAGCATAGCTCTCCAATAGAGAGATCTGAAGGACAAGCTAATATTGACTGCCTTCTTTTGCAGTTATTTTTTTTTAAAATGATTTTCTTCTTCCATGCGCATACATTATTTTCATGTATTTGTATAGGATCCAAGACACTTTCATCCCTTTTATGTTCAGCATGCAGTTTGAAAATTGCAGGTATCTCATGATGAGGCTTTGGAACACCTTAGGATCTCTAAAGATGATATATACTCCTACTTAAGTAGAATGTATATGTTAGAAAATGGTTAATGTTTGCAGATTAAACATGTCTTATCTGTTTTACATCATTTGCATCCTAAACAATTTACTGGTATACACTAAATAGTATTGTTTAGTATTCTCTTTTGCCTTTTGTGTTTTACAGCAAATACATGGGATTGCATAGCAACATGTTTCTTTATAGACACTGCTCACAATGTTCTGGACTATATAGAGACAATCTGGAAAATTCTCAAGCCAGGTGGCCTATGGATTAATTTAGGTATTACTATTACTGTTTACTAATTATTATTATTATTATTCTCCAAACATTTTTTTGCGATGCAGTAAGATCCAGTAAATGAAATGCACCTTTTGGCTGTCCTAGACTAACGTCTTCTGAAATAGAATATGCCCACTGTTTAATTAGCTTTTTAAACTGATGTCTATTCCTTCTATAATTTCCCATTACATTTCAGACTCTATCAACCATTGCACAATTTATAAATCACAAGGTGTTACATTTGTAGAAGGCAGGAGTCTTTGGGCTGGGGAGGTGTTAACTTGACAGTATATGGTATATTTGGATATTTTGTATCATGAACCACATAAAGTACTAGTGAGAAACTTAAGACATACTGTAACAGATTTTGTGCCTAGGTTTCTTTTTGGGATATCCCTATTAAAAAAACATGGGAGCACAAACACTTCAGATCTTTTGGACAATCTTATTACCCAAGAAACAACAACTATGTATAATTAAAATACAAACAATTTTTGTTACACATCTTAAAAATAATAACCTAAAGATACATTATTAAAATAATTGACAAATTGTCAAGTTGTGACTCATATCAGGTCGCACAGAGTTCTTCAAATAAGTTGCTGATCACACCAGTTGATAAGACCAGTTCCAGATGATACAATATAGGAGTGCAATATGTAGCTGTGCCTCTACATATTTTGTGGCCTACACTGCTTCCTCAGGAGGAAAAATGAGCAAGAGAACTGTCTACAATAGAACATAACCTAAACATATAGCATAGAGCAAAATACAATGCAATAGTGAAATAACAACTTCATAAATTGCACGGGTGATTGAACATTTGCTTACGGACAAAAACAGATGCCCAAGGGAGGGTCCCGCATGAGTATGCCAAAACTTCCCCCCGGAAGTGCCCAGAAAAACCCACCAATAAAGGGGAGAGGAATCAAACATAGCCAAAATAATCCATAGTACCAAAGGTCTCAAACAGAAGAAAAAAGAAAAGGAGGAAAAGCGAGAAAGGAAAAAACGGGGGGGGGGGGGGGGGGGGGGGGGGGGAGGCTCCCTTCTTAGAAATGGTGAATCCTTTTCCCTGCAGATCTTTGCTGACTGCGGAACCAAAGGAGTTCTTTACTGCTATAATTACTTAAACACTTTGGGGCATCATGTTGATAGATTCATTTTCTCCTTTCAAGAATGTTAACTGCATTTTTTCATTGCACAATTGATGGAAGGGTGGGAGACTACCATTTCTGGGCCACTAGTTTATGAGTTAGGAAGAGTAAGCATACTACCAATAATTTAAATGTCTGAGAGATCAAACCTGGGATGATACTCAAAAGTGCAATTTTAGGATCCACAGACAGGTGAAAATAGTATAAACTATTAATTGTAAAAAATAGATGACCAAAACCTAAATCATTTGGTGTGACTACTCTTAAGGGCTCTAATTCCTAAAATCTTCCTCCAATTTGGATGTACATACTTTCAGCTGATATCCATTATATAACTATAGCTTTAATATGTTTTGATAAATACCTGAAAAAACTAAAATATATATGGACATAACTGTATGTGCCATTGTTCCTTTGGTCCCCACCCCCTCCAACATAAAGATGAAACTTCTGAACGTTGTTTATGTGCTACACTAGGTGCAATATACCATCTTACTAAACATTTATGATTCATTTCGACAGTGTTCATGTTCATCACCCCATGTGTTAATTTAAATATTTTTTTTTTTTTGTTGCTTATTCAGTTTTGTTATAAGCTCCTTTTCCCACTTCTCGAAGTACAATGGAGAATCAGATCCAGCTAATTCAATAAGGATCTTATAGATCCTAGAGGTGACATGTTTTTGAACTCCACATTCGTTAGAATGAATACATGTCCTCATCCGTCCTTAGTGGCTGCAGGAGAGCTGCAACAAATTGTCCTAGTTGGTAATAACGCCACTCATCTAATGTGAAAATTAAATCTTTTTTACTCTTTACATTTTGAAAATAACATAATTTCCTCTTATCTACTATAGCCTTTAAGCACGCATTTCTATCTTTTATCCATTTCCCTGAAATATTATCTTTCTCTGGTGGGAAAAACGCTGTTTCCACCAGTGGTATTAATATTGAATTGTACTTCCATCACATTTGCTTGTGCATTACATCCCAAATCCTTAATACATTCGGTGTCAAAGTGCTTGTATTTTCATCCATTATATGAGACTGATGTGACAACCAGATAATCCTGTCTAACTGTGCCTTACTAAGTGTTCCTTCCATTTTTACCCAGCATTTCCCCTGTGGATTATGTATCCAATCTACTATTCATGGTAATAACACCGAAATATAGTATTTCCTAAAGTTAGGCAAGTTTAAACCCCCTTTCCATATTTAACTCTTGGTTTCTTATTTACCCATATATACCCGAGTATCTTTTTTTTTTTTTTTTTTTTTTTTTTTTTTTTTAGGGTTGCAAAGAAAGATCCTGGTAAATGTATTGGGAGCATGTGAAACTATTCAGTACAATCACGGTCTTTACCATATTTATGCAACCTATCCAGGAAAGCCATCCCATTGAGATTTTCCTCAATTCATCCTTTATCTGGTTTATTAATGGAATATAATTTGTCTGATATAAATTCTTTATTGAGGAAGTTGACTTTATTCTTTAAATAGCTTAATTCTTTTTCCCTCCATGTAAAAGAAAAATCTTTTTGCAAAGTCTGTTTCCGCATCTTTGGAACATATTTAAAATCTCTGACTTTGAGGGGTTAATTTTCAAATTTGCTAACTCTCCGTAGTATTTTAATAATCTCATTAAATTAGGTAACGTTAGTTTAGGGTTTTTCAATATAAAACATGTCATCTGCGTATGCCGCTACCTTGTGTTCCACGTCTCCTATCCTGATTCCTGTTACATCTACCCTCTTTCTTATCGTCGCTAATAGTGGTTCCAGAGATATTACAAATAACAGGCGAGAAAGTGTACATCCCTGTCTTGTACCATTATTCATTTAAAAAAAAACTGTGATAGGGACCTGTTGACCTTTACAACTGCTGACAGGACAATATATGGCTTTTTTTTTTTATCCATTTTAACGTTTTGGACCCTAATCCTAATGCCTCTAACGTATCTATCATGAATCCCTAGTCTACCCTGTCAAAAGCTTTTTCCGCATCAATCGACAGGATTACCTTCGGCATCTTCTCTCTCTTGTTTTTTTTTCAGAAGGAGCAGTGATCTCAATCCATTGTCCCAACCTTCTCTGCCTGGAATGAATCCCACTTGATCTAAGCGTATCCACTCCGGCATCAGCTCTTTCATCTTAGTTGCTAGTACTTAGCGAATAATTTTGTGTCTATGTTCCCTAATCAGTAATGATATAGGTCTATAACTGGCACGCTGTGACCCATCCTTCCCCTCTTTAGGTATCATTGTTATATATGCTTGCAGTGGCTCTTCTCTCATTTCCAACCCCTCCTCTAACGCATTCATATATGTACTTTATTTTGGGGAAAAGTTGTTGTCTAAATTTCTTATAATATCCCACCCTATATCCATCAGGTCCGGGACTCTTTCCTACAGCCATACTCTTCAATGGTTTAATAAATTCCTCCTGGGAAATAGGTTTTTCTAAAGCTAATAATTTTGCTTCCGTCAGTCTTCGTAAGCCGGCCTCCTTTAAATATATCTGCCTTTTTTTTCCTTTATTTCTTCCTCTGTTTCTTTTTGGTTCTTAGATTTTACTCCGTACAACCTGCTGTTATTTTTTTTAAGTGTGTTAGCGATATCAGTGGTGGATAGTGCCATTTCTCTTGTTTCATTTACATTTTTTTCTATAAAATTATTTGATTTCTTTTCCCTTACCTTTCTCATTAAATATGTTCCTGGTCTATTCCCCCACTGATGTCTTTCTTTTGAAACTTTATTAAAAATCCTCCTTGTTTCCTGTTCCATAAGATCTTTTAACTCTTCTCTTTTTAGAATTATCTTTAGTTGTATATCTAAATACATTTTTTTTTATGTAGCTATTCTAAATATAGAACTCCTCCGTCAATAACCTTATTTTCTTCTCCCGATCTTTCTTTTTTTTTTTTTTCACCCCTATTGAAATCAAAATTCCCCTGATATATGCCTTGTGTGCCTCCCAAATTGTAGCAACAGATACCTCCTCAGTCTCGTTAGACATAAAGTATTGCTTCCTTCTTTAATCTTTTTTCTATTGCTGGATCTTGTATAAACATCTCATTTAATTTCCACATACTTATTTTGTACCGCTCTCCTCCCACCCGTAGTCTCATTGTGACAGGTGCACGGTCAGATATAGACATTACTTCTACGTTAGATTTTACCATAGATTCCAATTGTCTGTGCACACTCATATAATCCAGTCGTGACTACATCCCATGCACTGGGGAGAAGGTATAATCACTTTCTCTTGGGTGTTTTAACACTCGAAGTGTCAATCAATTTGCATTGATGTAGCATCTTTTTAACAGATTTAAATTTTTTACCTCCATTTCTCTGCGAACGCGATGACGTGTCCATTCATGGATCCATGCAGAAATTAAAATCTCCTGCCAAAAACTACCCCTCTTAAAATCTATAAGTTTTCTAAGCATACCCTCGAGAAATACCACTTATTAGACAGTAAATGTTAACTAACGTACATTCTAGTCCCTGTAGGTTTCCTCTCAGAAATAAAAAATGACCTTTTGGATCCACCACCCTTTCTTCTAACGTGAATCTTACATTTTTTCCAAACCCAGTTACTATTCCTTTTAGCCCTTTTTATTGGTGAGTCCGCATAATACCAGGTTGGATATTGTCTCAAGTATAGCTTGACATTTGTATCTTGAGATATGTGTCTCTTGTAGAAACACTACCACTACATCTACCGGTATAGAGTGTTGATGTATTTCCCTAAGAATGTTATGTCTTTTAGTCGGAGTGTTTAATCCCTTCACGTTATGAAATTGATCAAACTCATTTCTGCTGCTATTTCTCTTTTCCTTGAT